TTCAGATATCACCTCTTTCGCATTTTACATCATTTAGATGTTGTAGTTTCTGGATGGAGTATTTTATTTATTTATTTATTTTGGGACAGGGTCCCTCTGTGCCACCCAAGCTGGAGTGCAGTGGCGTGATCATAGCTCACTACAGCCTCAAACTTTCAGGCTCAAGGGATCCTCCTGCTTCAGCTTCATGAGCAACTGGGACCACAGGCGTGCGCCATCAAGCCTTCTATTCTATTTTTCATCTACCAGAATCCAGCAAACTTCATATATTATTTTCATTACTATTGAGGACTTCTAGGAATAACTGTGGTATTTTACTTTTTGTTTTAAATTTTTGTTTGTCCATACCTCAAATAATAATCTAATCAAGATGACCCAGTACACAGTTAACAAAATGATTTCAATGTCCATAAAATACCAAATAAAGATGAAAACATGTGAATGTGTTGGTCTGAAAATATGTAGAGGGTTCAGTTAATTTTTAAAAAACACCAATTGTACTTTCGTATCATCCCAAATATCACTTCCTCTAAAGATATTCTCATAATTTATAAAGTGAAAATTCAATTATTTAAGGTGAAATTTAGTGTGATAAATATATGTATATGTGTATTAAATTTGTACCTAGGTTATCATTCCATATCAAGATCAAACTACATGTATCTATTTTATATGGATACAAATAAAGTAGATATGAACTTAAGCATTTATCTTTCCTTTTAAGATATAAACAAAATAGATATGAACTTAAGTGTTTATCTTCCTGTTTGGGATATAAATAGAATAGAATTAAACTTAAGTATTTATGAAAGATTCCTTTATATCTACAATATAAAATGTAGATTAAATTATATCATATTACCAACAATTAGTAACAGATGAGGTGATTTTATAAATTGCAGAAGGGAGAAATTAATAGTGGGTTTTATGGCCCATATAATTCCTTTTAGGGTTTGGCCAGACTAGTGACTAAACAAGTAGAAGCTTATAGAATTAATTAAGATTGTATATATACTATTAAATGTTGATTTGAATAGAAATGTTTGGTTAAGAAAGAGGTGATTTAAAAAAGTCAGCAGGACATCCTCATCAAGAGTGACTAATAAGAACCACAGCCATGGGAAAGCGACCTTAATGGAAGACATGGTGTCTCCTGTCCTGATATGGACTTCTCTGATGCAGTAGGGACCTTCCCAATGGCCTCAAGATATAGATGATCATATGCCTGAAGGGATGCACTGATGGAAGTATAAACTCTCCACTGGCAAGAAAAAAGTAAGACAGTGTTAACAGGACACCTAGACCTAGAGTATTCCAATATAAGTTCCTCAGTCCTTCACAGATTGTGTGGCCTATTTTTAGTCTAGGCAACTGCCTCTTTTCCCCTCTACTCATCGTCTACCCTATGCATACTGGGAAATGTGAGAAGCAGCAGTAAAACAAATATTTCTGCTTGGCCAGAAAAATAGGTTTAAATCCATTTATTGCCTCGGGTACAACCAACATGAAAGTATGTAAGTAAGATCTGCAGTAAATTTTTAGGCCATGCAGCAACTTTTGGTGGACATCAAGCTAATTAATAGGAATTTTTAATGTGGGAATTAATCTGTATATGTCTCAGTGACATCCAACCATTAACTGGTGTATAATGACAGTCTTCGTGTTAACTAAATATCTCTGTTACACAAAGTTTGCAGAAAGCTAATGTGCTGTTCTGAACACATACTATTCTAATATCAAACAGTGAAAAAGCTTTCAGTAGAAATGTAAACCATATACAAATATACACAAAAGAACTCTTAAAGTCTTCACCTCAAAATTCTTGGTTACAACACTCTGTGCACTTCCCACCCCCATAATTCTTACTGGTTATTTACCTTGTTGAAAGTACTTAAAAATAAAATTTCACTTAAGAAGAAAATTCATCATGAATTACTATTGCCTTTTTAATGATTTATCAATATATAAAGTTGGTATTTGGCAAAATGATTATAGAAAGATTTATTCCCAGCATCTTCCTTATCTTTAAGTCATTTTACACCCAAGTGGCTCTCCAGAATCCCCATGTGTTATTTTCATTTTCACCTGAACATACAGTGTATTTCTTGTCATGAAAGCAAAACCTTATCAGGTCCTGTCCCATCCCTTCCTTTCTCTCTGCAAGATGATAGATGAATAAAAATTATTTGCAGCAAATAACTGTGAAGAATTTAACTGGATATCATGCTACCATCTCTTGGTAACATACCATTAATTAGATTAGTGCTTCTCAAATTGTAGTAATCATCAGCATCACTACAGGGATACTTAACACACAAGTTGCTGGGCCCCACCCCCAGAGTTTCTCATTCAGTAGGTTTCAGGTGAAGCCCAAGGATTTGCATTCCTAAGTTCCTGGATGATACTCATGGTGCTGGTCCTCTAAGAACGGAGTTAAAAATTTAATACAGTATGGTAGATTAGGCAGTGAGAGTGAGGTATCCGACTAATCAGCAGATTTGCTATTTCCCCTCATTTTATACCAGGTATAAAAAATTAAGGCCAGTCCAGTAGCTCTGCCCTTAATAGAATATAAAAATGCTGTTCTAAAAGTTTTGCTTTGCATAACACAAAAACAAGCAACATAAAACAAATATTTTTCCAAAGCACAAAAACAATCTTACCTGAACTTAATTATGACACTTGTTTGTTGCTTTAATAGGGTTACCTAGAACATTTAGCCTTTTAAGATTTTGCCATAGAGTAAATTTTATCCCATATTCTTCTTCATGTGAACAGTTAGGTGTCTTCTGTCATTTCTTGCATATTCTTGCACACAAACACAATCATGCATCCGTGTAACTTCTGATTCTCACAATTGGAGTAACACTATCGATCAGAATACCTAAAGTTCAATGACCCTAGACTGTCTCCCTTACAGAATAATTTTGGCATATAGCAGTCAACCACCTAATAAATAAAATATCTGAAAAATGTCCATATTAGCCTAAATTTCTACCATTTTGTTGCACTTTCTTCAATTCACACTCAAAGAAATTAATACCTTTTGAATGAGTATCTATTTGTCTAAACAATCAGCTCATTTTCTTAATCATTTATTAATTATCCATTTGTACTATGGCAAAAGAAAATATCACAGCTTTCATGCAAAGTGAATAATAATATTCTTGAAATAATAGTGTTATATTTTGGTACGCACAAGTTGAACAACTGTCACAATCTTAAGTAATACAAGTTATGCACATACTCACTATGAGGTATGTTTAAATGTGGCGTAATTTTGATGGATTAAATAACTCTTTTAATAATTTAGTAGTACTGGTATTAAATGTGAAAATAAATAAGGGAACTATTTAAAGACAAATTCTCTATGTGGAAAGATTCCTCAAACAGCACATTTTATGGGATAATAACAAGATTCAAGTATTATAAAAAGTTTGAAAAGAAACTTATTCAATTTTTTCTTTAATATATTCAGAAGGACATCATGATGAAAACACAATGCTTCCTATGCAGGTTTTAACTGGATCGTATTACAGTATTTTTAGATTCCTAATTTCAATCATTCAATTGTTCTCTACACATTTCATTTCCAAAATTCTTTCTCCTATCATTATTTCTATATAAGTAGCAATTTAGTAAAAAACTCCATTCTTCAGTAAGAAAACTATCTTTGAAAGAAATAAAAGTGAAAATGTTGATGAAGGAATCTATAAATTCTGAACAATTTGCATTCACCATTATTTCATCAACTCTATAGCAATCATGTCCAAAATAAATAACACAATCAGTATTCCTTTATTCACCCAAAATATCCCAATTTTATCTCACATGTCTGGCTAACTATGAAGCTATGTCTAACTTAAAACTATAACTTTAATATCTACTTCAAATATAAGAAACAAATGATTTCAATATTCTGACAATATTCATCTTACTTTTTGTTATATTTTAAGGCCATATCTCTAAACTGTTTAATATTTCAATGTCAAGAATTATTACTACTTATTGGACTCAAAGTACATATAAAACCACTACATGTTTGGATGCAAAATATATTGATTATATTAATTTATAGTAAATTAAAAGTGAAAACTCCTTTATCCCACAGTGAGGTACTAATTATTCACTAATTAGCTTTTATTTTTTAAATTTATTTATTTATTTATTGAGATGGCGTTTCACTCTTGTTGCCCAGGGTGGAGAGCAATGGTGCAATCTCAGTAATCAATTCATTTTGATTACAGGTATGCATGAATAAAATTCATGATTAGAACCATTACACCAAAAAGCCTCCTACAAGGACTTTTACATACTCTGAGCTATGCGAACTGAAAAGTAACAGTGGGATGGCAAGAACCAGCTTACAAAATAAATTCCTATTGAGTGTTTTTCATAGAAGGATGATAATTTTAAGTTGCTTACATCATATATTTCCAATCTTAATGAGAAAAAACTACTCTGATGATCTGATGTTATTGAAGTATTCTGAGAAAGAATTGCTGATGGCATTTAGTGAGCTACTGAATAAGAGAAATCAAAACTGTATAAATTAGATATATTTTCCAAAAATAAGGTGATTGTGCAGAAAACTAAAGATTCATGGAAATAGATATAATAGCTTGGGTATTACTAAGCTCTATTCATTATTGCATTATTGTAAAGATTTGATGATATGGTCCACTGTTCACCTGAAACCACCAAACACAGCATGTTTCATATCTCAGTTTTCAGTTACAGAGCATTTCCAGAGTTTACTCCTGTTCAGCTGAGATACAGTATTATGGTATCCTTCACACTGCACTTACAAAATCTATAAATAAAAACAAGGGCATCACGGGGCATCATTGCTCATAAAATGAATAAATCACTGATATTTAAATGCCTTAGAGTGTTCCTTAATGTAACAAATATGACAGTAACCCTACATACACATTTTTGTGTACATTGCCTTATATTGATAATGAAAGCATATCTGCCATTATATATATATTCCTTACCTGTCAAGTTCTTTAATCCAAGTTCTTGAAGTCCAAAGTTTCCATCTTTTCTGTAGTTTAAAAATATTGCCAAGGCATATCGATCCTCATAAAGTTTCGTTCCACGAATAATGCGTAAATTCTCCAGAGGCAGGTAACGAAACTGATTAAGAGCCACTAACACGTAGCCTGTGACTTCTCGAACAGACTGAAAAGACACAAACACAAACAATTGTCTGTGTTATAAAACTAATTTGTCACTATGCATATGTAACAAGTTAGATTAAAATGAGTTATTAAACTCTAATTTTCAGTTTTTAGCTTAATACATTATTTTCCATATCATATTCTAAATAATTGGCTTCATAAAAAAGATCACAAAAGGTTAAAATCTCATTTGAACTACAATGTTGTAGTTCTTTTAAACAGTTATGAATGTGCTTATAGTAAAATAATGGATTTTGTTTATGAGACCTTCTTCATACCTGAGATTTGAATATAGTTAAATGAATAAGGGTCTTGCTTATCAACAGACTACAATAAGTTAAGGACACACAACCATCAGTCAGAGACTACATAAAACAGCAAATTGGTGAGCATAAGTAAAACAAAGCCAGTTAGTTTGTAAATTGTAGGATAGATTTAAAAAGGCCTTATTGGTGGTTAGTGCTATATTTATCAAATAACAATTGCCCTGTACATCTCCAGGGAACACAAACATAAACAACATGTATTAAAAGCAAGCTGTTGTGGCCGGGCGCGGTGGCTCACACCTGCAATCCCAGCACTTTGGGAGGCCGAAGCGAGTGGATCATGAGGTCAAGAGATCGAGACCATTCTGGCCAACATGGTGAAACCCCATCTCTACTAAAAATACAAAAAATTAGCCGGGTGTGGTGGCAGGCGCCTGTCGTCCCAGCTACTTGGGAGGTTGAGACAGGAGAATCACTTGAACCCAGGAGGTGGAGGTTGCAGTGAGCCAAGATTGCGCCGCTGAACTCTAGCCTGGTGACAGAGCAAGACTCTATCTCAAAACAAACAAACAAACAAACAAACAAACAAAAAAACAAAAACAAACAAACAAAAAAACTACTTGTTGGCTATAAATTCATTCCAACCACATTTTTAATTTTTACTGCCCACTGTTTAAATTTACTCATGTATAATAAGTTAATTATTTGAAGGTTTGTGAGACATTTTAAAGCAAAACTGTCATGAAGAAAGCCTGAGTTGCATCTAAATATTAAGTTTTTTGATAAAATGATGATAGTTGTCAGAATTAAAAAAAAAAAAACTAAAAATGATACAAAAACACTCAAGTATTTGGTATTATTTTAACACCAATTTCATGTTATTCTAACTAACCCTTTTCATTTCAGACGCTGCAAGGCTCAGTTTTTGGTACTTTTTTCCCCCCTCTGTCTATTCTCACTCCCTTGGTGATCTTATTCAGTTTCAAAGTTGGTGATCTCCAAACATTTATCTCTATACTTTCCCCAAACTCCAGATTTATACCCAACTGTTTACTCACCATCCTTACTTGGATGTCTAGTATGATTTTCAGATACACCTATCAATGGCTGAACTCCTTTCTTCCCTCACCCCTCTGGCAGCCTTCCTCATCTCAGTTAAGGTTTTGCCATCTTTTCTGGCTTTCAGGCCAAAATTTCAGTCATCTTTGACTCTCCTCTGACACCCCGAGTGTGATCCATACTATTTGTTCTATGTTCAGAATGATCAGAAATTCAACTACTTTTTATGTCATCCATGGCTCCCACCTGAGCCATCATCATTCCTCATCTAGATTATTGTAATAGGTCTCCCTGTGTCTATTCCTGATCCTTATGGTGTATTCTAAATTCAGGCTAGCCAAGGTATTTTAAAGACATAAGTCAAATTACAACACTTCAATGTTTAAAACTCTGAAACATCTCCTAAGTCACTGAGAGTAACAGACAAAATCCTTTTACTGATGCATCAAAATCTTCATGCTGTTCAGTGCAATAACCACTAGCCATATGTGGCTAGTGAGCAATTGAAGTGTAGCTGGTCTAAATTCAGATGTGCTGTAAGTACAAAATACACTCTGGATTTTGAAGATTATATGATTAAATGATAGCATTTGAGATAAATTGAGTTAAATAAAATGTATTATTAAAGTTAATATCAGTTGTTTCTTTTTACTTTCTTATTGTGGCAAAACAAACATTTTAAATTCTATGGCCTTACAATTCTATTAGACAGAACTACAGTATCTGATCTAGTCATCAGTTCTCTTTCACATGAAAATTATAGTTCTACCTTAAATTCTGCATTATGCCCTTAAAAATCTGAGTTTCCCTTCATCTTGTTATCTTCTTGGCAAACTCCCTCACTACCTTCAAGTTTTTGTTCAAATATCTCCTTCTCAGTTGAGGCCAACCCTGATAAACCTGTTGAACACTGTAGCCCCTACACTTCTACCTGCTTCAATTCTCATATTGTCCCCACTACTTCTTACCTTCTGCTATATCATATCATTCATACATTTATTAGATTTAGTATTGGTAACCTGTCTCTCTTTTTCCCAGAATATAGCCCTATAAGGTCAAGCACTTTGGTCTGTAAACTTATGTGTCTCATGTGACCAGGAGAGTGGCAGTAAACCAACAAGTATCACTCTTGTCCTTCTCTGACCACATCCTTCCCCACTGTACAAAGTCTGTGGAGTGAAGAAAAAGGCCCATTTACATTCTACACTCTCCCCTTCCAGACCCTGTGATCCCAGAATTTCCTTTGCAAATAACCTCAAGTCTTTATCCAGAAACTGTAATGTCATCTTCCCCAGTTCAATCCCCAGACAGCAGATTGTGCCACCAATGTGCATATATTTAGGAAGGAATGGGTGGTCCAGGTGTCAATGTGTGATGGGAAACTATACAGATCCTGGACATGTAGGCTAAAGTGTCCAAAAACTTGCATGTAAGACCTCTCACAATATATGCTAGAAGTGAATGGAGGAGAGACTGTAGACTGGAGCCATTTCTCTCCATGCCAACATATTCCTGAGGACTCCAAAAGTCCTAACATTGTACCTGGCCATCCAGGTTGTTATAAAGATGTGTCTGTCAAAATGGGAAAACATAACATTTTACTTAGTAATCTCTAGTTGGTTATAATAAACAATAAAATATGTGAGCCTCTATTCAGACTCTTCCCCCCCAGTCTCACAATTCTTAGGAATAAGCATACTACAAATAATCAATAGAAGAGCAGAATCCTAATGGAGCCAAAGTGGAGAGGAATAGGCAAGGCATACATGGAATTACTCATATCTGGCATCAAACTGGGAACTCTAAGCCACTATGAGTACTCCTAAGACAGTGAGTTTCTTGGAGTGAAGAGATAAATGCCTAGGACAATAGAAAAGAGTGATGAAACTCAGCAGTGATATGCATTGCTTGTACACAGCAATTTGTTTAAAATTGCACCACCTGGAAAAGTGGGGCTCTAGGGCTCTATAATTCCTCCTTCAAACACCATTCTAATGGTTGAACTGCTACCTCTTTGAGTGCCCTTATCTACCTCTTTGAGCTCTTCAAGAGAGACTATAAATACATTCTGACATCATATGGTCTGAAAAGTAAAATTCTTTCATTCATCATCACAAAGCTTTCTTTAAATGTGTATACAATAATTATTTAGTGATCTAGGTCACCATGATAAATGTGGTGATGGAGGATGTATTATGACTCTTTTGCCTACAACATGTCGTAAGATCCATCATTCCAAAACAGACTTATCATTAGCTTCCATCCCACTCAGGAAGTGACTCTTCTTATCAAAAACTGTAAAAAGCCATTGGTTTATCTCGAGATGGGGAAACACATTTACAATATCAACAGAGAAAACACAGATGAAGCATACTTGGGTAAAAGAAGAGGTTTATTTGTAAAAGAGTAACATCATTAGTAATTTTTCAGTGTCACTTGGGATGGCATTTGGATCACATATTAACACAAGCTGCAAATAACCTGCAAATAATAAGGGCTCTAGAATGTGTGATAGGTATGAACCAAGAACAATGCTGAACATATAAAGAAGGACTAACTAATGCAGAAGAGGATGCTTCAAGTGCTCTTATCTACCAGAAAGAGTAAAATATAACTAAGAACATCTTTGTATTTGCATATTACTAAAGACATTTATATTTGAATTAATTGTGTTGTAATATTTATATACTTCTCATTCCAGGGTGTGTATTATATTATTCTTAGAGACATGTGTCTTATCTTCATGGAAGGTCAGATTACAAGCAATAGGTACTCCCTTATAAAGATTCTAGAACTGGAGGGATTTGCTGTTATAACTGAGATTCTAGTATCCAAAATAAGTCTCTGTCATTATTCATTCTGTTTATTACCCTTGCAAAATAGTATGCATAACTAAGCATTAGCCTAACAAATATCTTTTTATTATGTGAACTCTGGACATCATTCCATGTTAATGCTGAGAATGTATGTCCAAGTCATTTTGAACAAGGCCACCCATAAGTTGGTCCATAGTAAATTATTTTATGATAATGATAGTGAGGATCCTATTTATTTCTTTCTTACATCCCTTTCTCTGACCCAGAAAAATAATGTAAATAATAGAAAAAAAATATCATAGCAAATCTCTCAACCCAAGATGTGTTTCTCTAATCTTTTGTATGTAGAGGGACACATGGAACTGAAGCATTTTAAAAAAGAGTTACAGGAGATAAATACAAAAGTCTTATACCTAAAAGAACACATCCTGCCTTATTTTGGTCTCTGTTTTTTGGTGTTCATAGTCACATTTTCTCTATTCTTATAGTCTTTCTGTGAACAAATATCTTGAAACATCTCAAAAGGAAACTCCAGTGCAGATCATGAGCCATGTGTACTGATTACAAATAAAAACAATTAAAGGAAACGAGTTAATAATGATAGGAGTGCTTAATGATGAAAAAGAGTAAATAAAGTGGTTTGAGCCAATATTGGCAGATCTGGATAAAAAGTGAAGAGATATCTAGAAGTATAAATTACATGTTATAATGTCTGATAAGGCCACACAATCATGTTAGTTATCCATTGTTCCTCACCTTTCAGCTATCAGAAAAAAATCTGAGTAGCACAACATTTTCCACTGTTTTAGAAAATTTTAAGAAAATAAAAACAACTTTTAAACATATGGACTTATTTATGG